TCATTATCAGCAGTACTTCCGCCACGAGCTCCACCACTGGCGGGAATTCGCTGAACCTCCCCTCTGCACTCGTCCTTGTTCGGGTAGTGAATGCAGTGGGAGATACGGGCCCGTTGGTCATCGTCATAGGAGCTGGTTGACTCGATCACCACCTGACGAGTTTCACCCAAATGAAAAATAAAGCTCAAACTGATGAACATCATCATTGCTCCTAGAATCAGAAAATGGGCAAAAGAATTTTGACTATGCTGCGACATTTTTGGTAAAAAACTGTTCACAAGATAAACTTTGAAAACTTAGAATAAAAAATTCAACTGCTTTTTATTTGAAAATGCAGTAGAATGATGATGATGATGATGATGATGATGCACCGTTTTAGTGATGAGCTAGTGTCCGATTGTGGATGATGATGAAAAAACCAGAGGATGTGATTGTTATTTTTGGACTTTAGCAGGCACTCTCGTCTCTTCCTTGTTTGGACTGCTGGTGTGCGCTCTGTTTTGTTTTATATTCACTCACACTTTCAAAGAGTANTGGACTGCTGGTGTGCGCTCTGTTTTGTTTTATATTCACTCACACTTTCAAAGAGTAAGCTGACAGATCTGAGGCCATGCACTAATTCACTGTCACTGCCATTGACATCGCCTGGCTGCAAACAGGCAGCTCGCTGTACACGGCCTGTACAACAGCCAGTCACACTTGTACAGTCGATTACGGTTTTGTGCTTTACACTTTGCACCAACTGCAAAAAACTGTCAGTTAATCCTTTTTTTGGTTTTTTGCTTTAACTGCCCATATTTGCCGTAATCGAGTGCACAGGCTAGCTGTACAGTCACCACCACCACCACCACCACTTGTCAATTTTGTGATTTAATTTTTATTAATTGAGCTTTTTTCTATCGTTGGTTGTTTAGGTGCTCTGCTCTGCTCTGGTTTCATTGCGTTGCACCACAACCGTCTGGTTATGTAGTGGTGTGATTTTCCAGATGTCAAAAAGGGGCATTTGACAACGGCGAGAGTGCAATTTTTTCACTTTTTGCGTGAGTACAATTTTTTGACAAAGAAAAAACGGTTTGTTTTATTATAATGTGCCCTGTCAGTAGGTGTCAGACTTTATGCGTGTTTGTGCCGGTTTGCATGTTTATTTAATTTAAAACTGCGTGATAATTGTTCAGTTGACTACAAAATGAATGAATATTTATTTGAAAGCGTTGCCTAGTGCAAAACGATAAAAATGCATTTTGACTTGTAATTTCATGGGTTTTATTTTTTTATATTTGCTTAAAAATTAATTAAAATTTAATAACTAGTTTGCATAACAAAGTCATAAAAAATGTAGTTTGAAAAACAAAAAATGATTTTTGTGCACAAGTTTTGTAAAAAACATTTTAAATGTAAAAGTTTTTAGTGGTATCTAGAGGCATAAAAATTAACTAAAATTAATTTAAATTTATCATTTATATCTATGAAAACCAGTTTTTACAGTAAATTTTTATTTCATTTAAAAGTATAACAACTTCAAAGTCAAAATGTATTTTAAAACAAAAATCTCTTTAAAATATAAGCACAACTAAATAAAAACCCTTATTTTTTTATTAATAGTTTCTTTATCTTTGTATCTCCGTTTTTTTGCCTTATCATTTATTGTAATCAACAAACAGCCATTTTCTCGTAACTCGGTTCTAACTATTTTTTTGGTTTTTATTATACACTCAAATTTTTTTGTAACACGTATTTTCTAAAACGTTTGAAGCGTAAATAAATTTTTTACTTTAGTGCTTTTTTTAAACAATAATTTAAACATAGTTTTTTAAAGTTTACTCACAGTAAAATTATTGTTGTTGGTTTTTTAGTATTTAAAAATAGTTAAATGGAGCCAAATGATGAAAACTCTAGAAATTTTCAACGAATACTATTATACAGTTTTTTCTGGGGATGCTCAGTTGGATACTACAATATGATAAAGTATGATCGTCAAGAATATAAAACTTACTTTGCTAAAGCGTTATTGAACGTTGTCAGTGGGTTAATTTGGATTATTTCATTTTCAATTTTATTTTTTCAAATTTTAAATTCAGAGTCGGACCTTGAAGAAGAGTCAAAAACACTTAAAATACATAAATATATAATTTTAAATTTTAATTTTATTTGCATAATTTTCATATGTAGTTTTATTTTTTTCACTGTTTCTTTTTGTTTTATATTTTTAATTGGTCGTTTTTTCTTGGATACTTTTATAAATTATTTTTTTATTGAAGATGTTTTTTATCTTTTTAATTATTTTAAAAGTAAGTTATGTTTTTAATTTGTAATTACTAACAATTGTTAAGTTTATATGTTTTTAGTATTTTAAAAAATTAGTATTTTAATTTAAAAATTACTTTTGCAGAAAAAAAATTAACATTATTTAAAAATGTTTCAAAAACTAATCAATATGAACGGTATATTGAAAAAAACACAGACGTAATTAGTTTAAGTCAACCAGCTTTAATTGCAATTGAAATAGTAAACGTAGACTTGAATTCCTCTTTTGTTAAACGCGCTGCATCTTACAAATTTACTAATTTTACAAAAGCATGGAATTTAGCTGAAAATGAAGTGCAAAAAAATAAAGAAAAACTAAATAAATACATTGCCACCTATGGAAAAGAAAACGTAATTGCAGCGTTTGCGTATTCTAGCGAAGAACTGCCAATTTACAAAATTATAAACAAATCAGTCAGAGATCTTCAAACAGTTATGGGAAATACAATGAAAACCAAAAATGATGTAAATTTTTGGTCTATTATGCCGATAATTAAAAGTCTTGCAAATTCGTTTTTGTTATCTCCATTGATTGCTCATTTGAACGATTTGCAACTAAAAGCCTCTTTTTTACCTGAAAATGTTTTTTTCTACCGAGGGTGTAGCGTTCCGTTTGCTGCTCAAGTAGGAAAACTAGTTTGCATCTACGAATACACATCTACTTCAACTGACTATCAAATTGCTAAGCAGTTTACGCAAAACTGTGGAACGTTGCTGAAGTTTACCGGCATGATAAACGGTGTCTCCTTGGGAGAGCTGTCATACTACCCTAATGAAAATGAGGTGCTCCTTTATCCACTTCAATTTTTTGAAGTTACTGAAATTGTCCAAAATGGAAACACTACAGAATTAACACTTTCATCCATAACTAGAAAAATTATAAAATTATATGAGCTACTTGATCAATTTTTTCCCTTTCAATTGAAGATTCAAAATAATTGCGCTTTTAGGCTGGAAAAAGTTTTATCCAAAAATGATTACTATCTTTTTAACTGTGGTCATCTTCGCCAGTACGGCTATGTACCGTCCACTACATTTCAAAGCAACACAGAGCAATTGCCATTGTGTCACATCATAGGAATTGCCAAGAGGGTGCACTCAAACACAGCAACAATTAAAAAGTTTTACCTAATACCTAATATTCAAACTTTGATTGATTGCTGCAAGCAAAATAAAAAAGTGTACATTAAAGACTGTTTCGTTAAGTATGAGCTAGATTATGAAGATCCAACAAACTTTGATATTAGTGCAATTACTTTAATCAACTTTCAAAATGAGTTTTCAAACATTACTGTAGAAGATATGATAAAACATTGTCAAGAAAATGATCCGACAGGTGTTGCGACAAGTTTTGTAATTGGAGAAGGTATTGAAAAACACATTTGGGAACAGTTTTTAAAAAATGGCTTTGCAGAACACTTTCACAATAAAATTAAAGTTTGCATTGTCAAGGAAATTTTGAGTTCCGATAATGAAAATAGCAATGTTTTAAAATCATCAACTGATTATCTGATAAACACTTTTTTATTTCCATTTTTTAAAAAACTAAGCGATTTGTGGATATAACTGCAAAACTGCTTTATATAATTAAACCCACTACAATTTTCTATTTGCTAGTAGTACTAAAAAAATTGTATAATTATATTTAGTAGCATTTAAAATTTATCACATTGATTACCACTGACCAGTAAACAGTGTCAATGAAGCAAGTGAAGCTGTGAAGGCCTATGAAGAATTTGACACAATATCGGATGCCACTGAAATTGATTATGATGATCATTCAGCAGTCAGTGGTCAGTGGTTTGTTGACATTCATTTTATATTTTGACTAACACTTTTCATTTTGCAGAATCTCAGCAATCCGAACCAGTGATCAACCGTAGTTCGAGCAGTGCATCAGGTGAACAACAACTAAATTGTTGTCGTAGACGAGCTAAAATCCACAAGTGTCAGCAGTGCAACAAAAGCTTTCCATCTCTATCTCATCTCAAGCGACACCAACTGGTGCACACTGGCATACGAGTTTACCAGTGCCCAACATGCTCCAAATCACTTGGGCTGAAGGTTATTCTCAAGACACACATGCTGATTCACATTAGCATTAAAGCGCACAAATGCACAATTTGCTCTTAAACATTTGCGATAAAGTCTAATCTCACTACACACCAAACAGTTCACATCGACTCTCGACCATTTCAGTGCTCCACTTGTGAGAAAACATTTAAATCTAAAAGGTGTCTCAAATATCATCTTCAAAAAGTGCATCAGCAGTAACACTGCCTCTGCCGTCTTTATATTAGTCTTTTTTTCTATTCCCTTTTTTGCTGTCATTCAAAAGTTAATTAATAAAAATAATAACAATTGTATTACAAACTTATTGATCTGTTTTGCTATTGAAAACTGCAAACCTTGTCATTTTCCCCATCAGCGAATTGCCCCATCGCATACTTTGCACTAACCGGTCTAGCTCTATTTCTCTGGGGCCCTGGGGAGCACTGAGGGCAGAACAGAGACAGAGACAGTGTGCGAGCTCAGTAGGATCAGTTTTGTTTACGGTCGCTTTCCTCGCCTTCAGCTGTGAAATTCATTTTCAGTTTTTTATTATTTGAAGGAAAGTGTGTGAAACTGAGCAGCTGTCTGAAACCTATGATATGTACGACGAGTTTGATTGTGAGGTCAAAGAAGGGGCCAAAACAATGGGGGTGAAAGAAGAGGAAGAGGATTCAGAGGTTGATTACGATGATTTGGAGAGTGATGATCAATCAGCAAGCAATGGTGAGTAAACAATTTATTTTTTAACTTTCATCTTACTTATTTTACTTTTATTCAGAGTCCCAGTCAGTTGAAACAGTAGTGAAAACTGAAAAGCAGACTGAATCTCCAATTGATATGTTTGACGATGAGTTTCATGCGATTATGGAGCAGGATTTTTCTGCAAAAACAAATGTCAATGAAACAAGCAAAGCAGAAAGTGTCAACGAAGAAGACGAAACGGATTCGGAAGCCACTGAAATTGATGAAGATGATCATTCAGCAGTCAGTGGTGAGTGGTTTTTTGGCATGTTTTTTATATTTTGACTGACACATTTTCTATTCAGAATTTCAGCAAAACATCGAACCAGTAGTCAACCGTAGCTCGAGCAGTGCAACTGGTGAACAACATCTGAATGGTCGTCGAAAAAGAGCTAAAAGCCACAAGTGTCAGCAGTGCGACAAAAGCTTTGATCGTCCGTCTGAGCTCAAACGACACCAACTAGTGCACACTGGCATTAAAGCCTACAAGTGCCCAACATGCTCCAAATCATTTGGGCAGAAGGGTGATCTAGTAAAACACCAGTTGATTCACGCTGGCATTAAAGCTTTCAAGTGTCCAACATGTTCCAAATCATTTGAGCAGAAAGGTGCTCTCAAGGAGCATCAANCATTTGGGCAGAAGACTACTCTCAAAACACACCAACTGGTGCACACTGGCATACGGGCTTACAAGTGCACAGTTTGCTCTAAAACATTTGCACTAAAGAGTAATCTTACAAAACACCAAGTAGTTCACATCGATTCTCGCCCATTTCAGTGCTCTATTTGTAAGNACTGGCATTAAAGCTTTCAAGTGTCCAACATGTTCCAAATCATTTGAGCAGAAAGGTGCTCTCAAGGAGCATCAACTTGTTCACACTGGCATCCAAGCCTACAAGTGCTCGATTTGCACTAAATCATTCAAAAGGCCTAACATCCTCAAGAGGCACCAGCTTGTTCACACAGGCATTCGAGCCTATAAGTGTACGGTTTGCTCTAAAACATTTGGGCTTAAGTTTAATCTCACAAAGCACCAAGTAGTTCACAGCGACTCTCGACCATTTCAGTGCTCTATTTGTGAACAAACATTTAAATGGAAACAGCAACTCAAAGATCATCTTCAAAAAGTGCATCATCAGTAACACTTTCACTGCCGCCTTTATATCAGTCTCTTTTTCCATTCCCTCTCTTTTGCTGTCATTCAAAGATTAATTAAAAATAAAAAACTTTAACAATTTGGTCTCAAACTTATTGATCTGTTGTGCCATTGAAAACTGAGAACGCTGTGAGTCTTCACATCAACAAATTGCCCCCATCGCATACTTTGCACTAACCGGTTTGGATCTATTGCCCAGGGGAGCACTGTGGGGACTAAGAATAGAGACAGAGAGAAAGAGAGAGAGAGAGACAGTGTGCTCGCTCAGTTGGCTTTGTTTTGTTGTCAACTGTTTTAGTCTTTCTTCTCCTCTTTATCGTGTCGTATTCATTTACAGTCATTTTACCACTTGAAGAAAAATGTCTAAAACTGAGCAGCCGTCTGGAATTGATATGTACGACGATGAGTTGGATTGTGTGTATGAAGAAGGGGAAAATGAGGAAGTGGAAGTGAAAGAGGAGGAAGAAGATTCGGAGATTTGGTACGATGCTGTGGTAACTCTTGTTGATCAATCAGCAGTCAATGGTAAGTGGATGATTCAATTTTTCTAACTTTCACTTTACTCATGATACCTCTATTTAGAATCCCTGTCATCTGAAACAGTAGTGAAAACTGAAGAGAAGACTGAATCTGCAATTGATATGTTCGATGATGAGTTTCATGCAATTATGGAACGAGATTTTTCTGCTGAAACAAATGCCAATGAAACGAGTGAAGCAGTGAGTGCCAATGAAGAACTTGACACTGATTCGGATGCACCTGAAATTGATGGGGATGATCATTCAACAGTCAGTGGTGAGTGGGCAGTGTTTGTTTGTTCATTTTAAAAAAAATATCTTTTTTGCAGAATCTCAGCAAAACACCGAACCAGTGGTCAACCGCAGTTTGAGCAGTACATCAGATGAACAACAACAGCTGAATTGTCGTCAAAAAAGAGCCGAAAACCACAAATGTCGGCAGTGCGGCAAAAGTTTTGGAAATGCTCAAAGTTTTCAACGACATCAGCTGGTGCACACCAACATAAGAGCTCACCAGTGTACAAAATGCTCAGAATCTTTTAAATTATTAGAAAGCCTCAAACGGCACCAAGTGACGCACACAAAAAAGCGACCGTTTAAGTGCACCACTTGTTTTGAATCATTCAAATTAAAAAATGATTTGAAACGACACCAACTCGCTCACAGTGACGACCGACCATTTCAGTGCACAACATGTCTGGAATCATTCAAAACAGCAGCTACTCTTAAACTACACCGATTGGCGCACACTGTCACTCGAAATCACAAATGTACAACATGCTCTAAATTATTCAAATTTAAAAGAGATCTCCATGAACACCAATTTACGCACACTAAAGTACGAGCATTTAAGTGTAAAACATGCTCCGAATCGTTCAAACGAAAAAAAGATCTTCAACGACACAAACTCGTTCACAGCAGCATCCGAGCCTTCAAGTGCACCACTTGTTTTAAGTCGTTCAAATCCAACAATGAGTTGAAGCGGCATCAGCTCGTTCACAGCGATTCTCGACCATTTCAGTGCTCTATTTGTCAGGAGACGTTCAAATTAAAGCATACCCTCAATCGACACCATCAAGCTAAGCATTGACAGTAGCCCGTTTTCAGTGGGCAAAAAATGATTGACTACTTAGAGAGCGCCACACCAAGTTTGATAGCAAAAATGAACCAAAGTTGTATTAAATAAAAAAATTTTGTAATATATCTTTTTCCTGTTTTTCTGGTGTGTTTGTTTCTTCTGCAAAAAAATGTTGGAAAAACCAGTAAGCAAATAGTGTTTTTGGTAACAAAAATAAATCAATACTCAAACCCTTGATAAAGTATCATCAAAAAACGGCAAAATAAAGTGAAAGAAATCAGGGCAAATGTCCACCGCACAACTTGTACATTAATGTGGTATATTATAATGTGAAGAAGGAAAAGAAGAATAGCTGGAAAAAATGTTACATAAAAAGGGAAAGGGAAGCGAAATAATAATAAAAGCAGAGACGCTCAAATCACACTCCATCAGCTTGCAATTGCTCTTCTAACAAAGAAAACGGGGGAGGGAGGGGAGAGAGGGGAAAACCTAGAAGAGAATCCAAAAAGAGGAGGTGAGTCCAAAAGCAGAAGGAGAGTAAATCAGAGAATGAAAGAAAATCAGAGTAGGATTCCAGCCAAATAGAGAAATGAAAGAAAGGTAGAAAGAAAGAAGAAAGAAAGAGGGAAATTGAATGCATCGTCGAGTACAAATGGAAAAGTAGTGAAAAGAAATGAAAAGGGGTGAAAAGTCTTGATGAGATCCGCGCGCGCTCGTTCTTTCCTTTGTGGTAGTGTGATGTAGTAGTAGTAATCGTCGCAATAATTTTGGTCCAAAAGAAAAAGAGGTCCAAAAACTCCCGTCCACCTCCTCACTGCACCTTCTTGGCAATGTACTGAATGCTGCCAGCGTTGCCATTCTGCACGACGGCAATTCCATTCTTACTGCCACCGGTCATATCAGGAACGCTCATGTTCAACTGCTTGACGACCGCCTTGCCGAACTTGCCCGAGCGGCGGATGACGTAGGTGTAGATGAAGAAGTTGATGAAGAGGACGGCAAAGAGGCCGTAGAGGGTGAAGCCGATGGTGACCACGGAGAGGGAGGCGTCGCAGGGCAGGCCCAGCAGTTTGAGCTGCAACGCTTTGTAGTTGACAAAGAGGCCGACAAACATCTGGGCAATCTGCAGGGTGGTGATGGTGAGGCTGATGGCTCGAGGCACGTGGAAGTTGGCCACCTTCACGGCGTAGTAGGTGTACATCAGGCTAAAATGAAAACAAAAATATGAGTTAGTGATAAGCTTCTGATAAGAAATGATAAGGATAAGATAGAGCTACCTGTGGACAAAGAAGTTCATGTTGACCATCCACCGGGCGGTGGCGGGCGCATCAGGGAAGACGAACCAGCTGTAGTTGAGGGTGAGCAGGTGGTGGACCCAGTGCAGGGCAATGAGCTTCCGCTTGCGGAGCAGCACAAAAGCGGTGTCCAGCAGTTCGACCGCCTTGGAGAGCGTGAAGAAGAGGTACCAGACGTTGAGGCGGTAGTCCTGCAGAAAAATAAAAGGAACAAAATTTAGTAAAATGTTTAGTTTTAAAATTGTGCAAGATTTGGCTATGAGTTGTGGCTTTGCTTTGTGCTTTTACTGCTGTTGTTCCTAATCATCAATAGGCAATTGCACAGTTGCTGACATGACAGACTGTACAACAACAACAACTTCTTTCCCTTATTTGAACAATTGAATCAAAAAATGTCAAACTTTGTTAGCTACACAAAAACTGACATAAACTACACAAATAGACAAGCAGACTGCTACTTTTTTATTCTCCTGTCATCACTGAAATACTTGTGCAGCCATGTTGTTCCATTGCCTTTTCCAAGAAACGACCACCGTTAAAAATCATTATCATTGCTACTTCTGCATCTTTGACATTGAAAAGTCACACGTGCACTCGACAATGTCAAACACACAAATGTGAATGTTTGAGGTGCAGTTTGCTAGCCAGCAAAGATCAAAGATGAATAAAAATGAAAAAGGATGGCTCGGCTCACTTTTCAAGGGAAAAATTAGCTAGCACCACTTTATTTTTGACTTGACTGGCGGAAAAGACAGAGACAGACAGAAACACCGATACACGTGTATAACGAAAATTGAAGATCACCACCTTAGAAAGCTTTCCCTCTTTATTTTC